CTTTCCTCTTAACCCTAAGTATATATTTTTGTTAACTTTAACTTCAATAATCTACATCAACAAGCATCTCCCGTTAATGTTCGGAATTGTTTTGCAAAATGTGTAACTATGAATCAGGGAATTCAATAAGGGAGCTGGAGTCTCAATGAGTTCGTAGCAATTTTCGGAATATTTTTCTAATTTTTGTGTATTTAGTTATGAATTTTCTAAGAAAAAGTAACAAAATAATAATTTAGGATAAAACACAAGGATGTGGCCATGTTGACTGACGTACACTTGTGCAAGTGGTGAAAGGTGATGGGCTGAGATCGCGCTAGGTGTCCTCTTGCGATTATTTTGGCTTTTTTAGTGCGAAAATCTTTCAAAAAAGGTAATAAATAGTAGAAAAATCGTAAAAATGACCTGAAAATTACTCTGGCCTCCTTGTGACGTTATAAAACTAGAAGAACTTATAAATCATCCGTTTCGCAATGGAAAAATCAGAATTATTTTAGATAACTCACTTTCCTCTTAACCCTAAGTATATATGTTTGTTACCTTTAACAAGTATATATTACTATTTGTAAAAATACAAGAGTTAGTTTCCTTTCATATCTAAGGATGTAAAATTATCTGTTTTTTTTTAATAATAATGTACATATATAATAATTGCACACTGCTTTGAAGCCATCATTGCAACTGCGCCTAGAGCTTTGAACACGTCAGAGGTATTCAATAAGTTGTCCTTATGCAACTGCTCCTAGAGTTTTGAACACATCACAGCTATTCAATAAGTTGTCCATATGACGCCGCATTGGGAATCAGTAATATTCTATCATGTCCAATCACATAAAATAATGCCATACTTTTTCTGAAAAACCTCACACCAGTCAAGCAATTTTAAACTATTAGTGAATATTTTCCCTAGTCTATATGAGTGATTATATAGTCTATATGAGTGATTATATATTCACTTTGCATTTTTTTCACATTATATGTTAACTTTGGGGATTCCACAAACATATAATATAAAGATAGAAAGCAATAGTAGGAGATGAACCAGTACAAAAAATAATATATAATTGGTACAAAATAACCTTGTCACAAACACACTCACAAATGCTTTTCCATAAACCTTGCCCTAACATATAATAAATAAAAGCAACATTGCATATGATGCAACCTTGTCCAAATATGATACGTCATAAATAAAAAATGGACATGGCAGCAACATATGATTGAAGTAGATGGGCACTTTGCATCTCGTGTTATTGTAATTAAAGACATCAAAATATTAAGGTTGAAATCTTCCATAGTAGTAAGCATCAAAATAGGTTTGAAGCAGAGTTTAACGAAAATTCCAATTCCATTGATTTGCCTTTGCTTAAACACGAGAACCAAAATGGTTACTTCCCTTGCTGAGTATATTTGTTAACAGCGGAAACGATAATAGGTGACCAATCAAACCCGGGTACGACGAGTTTTGCATAGGATCAGAAGTAGTTGAATCCAGCTTGTATCACATGCTTCTTTGACTCCAATGCATTAGATAAGTTCTTGTATTTTTGAAGAGATACACTCCGAAGTCATTTATGTCTACGCTTCATGCGCTGCAACTTCGCCCTATCCAAATTGGCCTGCCTTTTGTCATCTTCAATTTAGCCTTCAACAAATTCCAAACGTGCCCTTGCTTTTTTGATTTCATCACCAAGTTGAAGATGCCTCTCCTTCCAGAAAGCAAGAACTCTTTGTTTGGAGGAGGTCTTTGTTTGAAGATGACTTACTTGCATTTCGAAAGCGGTCTTTGTTTGGAGGGGTGTTTATTATGCTCACATCAAACTTGGTTAGTAAATCCATTCTATGGGGGAAGAGAGTTTTTGTGGAGGAGAGAGTTTCAGTATATGGAGACAGATTGGTGGAGGAGTGAGTTTTTTGTGGAGGGAGAGTTTCTATGAAGGGGGTGATAGTAATACCAATAAAAGGGTTCCTGCCAAAAGACATTTGGTTGACAATGTATAAATTAATTTTTGGTCTGATACAATCTAAGTTTAATCCTAACTAGTTTGGTTTGTTTGGTTGGGTTCACTAACTAGATGTCACTTCCATTAAGTTTCTTTCAACCACTAATAGTGGTGTAAGGAAAGTGTGAGATTGACGTGCTTGAAAAGCAAAACCTGACACCTCTTTTTTTAAAATTGAAATAAAGTACATATGTTGACTACACACAAGCTTTGATGTGTTGGTCTATAAAGCTATGTCCCTTTTCTCAAACGAAATTGCATATGCAATCCTCATCCTCTAAAACAAATAGGATTATTCAAGCATGTCAACCTCTTCAGGCGCCAACAACACAGTCAAAGATGAAAAATTGGAGTCACAGTTCCATTTCCACATTGTACTCGCCGACCCCTTCCATTTTCAACATCATTTGGGAGTGAAGGGGACTCCGATGATCCATTAAAGGCAATACATGCAGTCAGTAGCAAGCTAGATTATAATTATAGACTGATCAATTGATGACACAAGAAATGTGTTGAAGACGAGGCCATTTTGGCTGATCTTAACATTAGAGTGAACAAAGCGTTCTCCCAAAAGAACAATTACTTGAAGCTGAGTCATAAAAGGAAGCTGAAAGCTGATGAGTTGGATACAGTAATGAATGATGAAATTAAAGGTTGTTTGATGAACCATATGTGATGCAAAGAGCACCACAGTGAATTGGAGTTGGCATTCAACGAAGGATTCAAAAAATTCCGAGCATTTATGGCAACTACTCATACAAGTGATAATTGGGACTATGTGTCCCCTGATGCTGTGAGAGAGATACTAGATGATGATGGTGACATGAGTGAGCATAAGCACGTCAAAGCTGCTCAGAAGAAGCCGACTGATACGACTAAGTGATTGCGGCTACCGTTGTTCAGTTGATTAGGGATGATTGTGGTATTGCACAAATTAGAAGTATATTCCCTTAATGTCATTATCTAATTTAAAATAACACAAATATCAGTTTCATTTGCTTCATATATAATTATTGGGACTAAGTATTGCAAGTCATCATGTGTTCCTTCTGTCTAACATTATATTTTGTAAATATCGAAATATTATTCAATAAGTAGTCAATATCACAGCACATTGGGAATCAGTAAAGCCCCATTATCATGTCTGTTCACATTAATGAGCTAGCGTACTTTTCTCAAAAAAACTGACACGTGAATCATAAGTAACATACCATGTGCTATACATTGTTTGGTGAATGGTTTATGGTTTATTTATATATAACAAAATTTCAAATATTGCTGAATATTTATTTCATCTATATCACTGGGGACATGAGTGACCATAAGCACGTGAGACCTGCTAAGAAGAAACTGACTAATATGACCGAATGATTGTGGCTACCGTTATTCAGTTGGTTGGGGAGATCATGGTATTGCTAAGAGGGAGCACATAAAATGCTTTGCAATCAAATTTTCTTTTGTGTGTGGAATTATGAGTAGTTCAAATGTTAGTGTACCCTTTAATATTCTCCAACTGTTCAAAGCGTGATTAGCTGCAATGTACTTTTTTACACGCTGCTTTCTAATCATTTTGTTCCAACAAAGTGCTTCAAGTATCCTTCAGTTACGAATGTTTACAAAATCGTGCACCTAATAACTAGTCGAGTTCAGTTCTTAATAACACTAGAACATAACGTTCAGAAAAAGTGGGTGCTGCTGGAAATGATGAGTGCTACTGGAAATCATTATTGGTAATGGAAACAATAGCTGGCTGCTGGAAATGCTGCATTAGCCTGTGATATAATCAACGAATCTCTGTTAAAACATAATTCACCATAAACTACCCATTTTACATGGTAAAAGTCATTGCTTCTTCACATAACTCAAAATTTGATACTTTATCAAATGTCTATGAAAATTTCTAAATAGGGAGAAAACGTAAAATTAACGTGTCCAAATTTCATGCAAGAATGAAACAAGCAAATTTTCATTTCAATTATCAGTGGACATAGTAAGAGTTCATCGGTGCACATGAACAAAAAAATAATAACAATAAAACTGCATCTAGAAAACTTCACATGATCATTAGTCTTCATAACACCGGGCTTCGTATAATAGAAACACAAATCATTTAGTTGGTCCGTGCATCCTGTCAAATTCGTCGAATAATAGGTCACTAAGATCTATTGGAGTTGATTCGTCATTGTTCGACGGTGATGTCCTGCATAAACATCAAACACAAGCACATAAAAAATTTACCTATTCAAATTTTAGGTGTTATTATAAATAGTTTTAACATCTTACGATGTGGTCAAATTTCTTGGGCATTATCTTCTATCATGACCAATGTGTCCACACTCCCGACAGTGTCTAATCCCTCTCTTCATTGCCTTTTCCTTTGCTTCCGTTACTCGTTTTGACCTTCCTTTGCACCTTACTCTCTTAGGGTCTTTCATATATTGTGTTTGAGAGCTGGACCCTCCAACTTCGTTATTACTTGGTTCATCCTTCAACAACTTCAACTTCACCTGCAAACTTTTTAGAGTCTCTGACAGTAGCTCACATCCTTCTTCACACATTAATGCATCCTCAACCACATCTGAAGTAAGTCGGGACATTGTACTCCGCTTTATTAAAAGACCAGGATCTGCACAATCTTTATTTCTTTGCCATTTGCATCTGACACCAATCCAGATTTCGTAGTTTTCTTCACCTCTTCAAAATATATTTATCGGGCATATATTCAATCTGGTCCCTTCTGAACAATGCTAGGATGTGCTTGCAAATAATTCCAACAAATTCAAATATTTTGTAGCTACAAGATGCGTGGTCAGAATCTTTGACATATACAACTTCTGCCACTCTTGTTTCCCAATTTTTCCTTTCGCTCACATTAAAGACAACTTTAGAAGCAACCTCTGTTTTGAGCTCTGGGAAACATGATGTACTTTGTATTAGTTCTTGCTCAAATTTTTGAAACATTGTCCTTGTGTACAAGGTAGCCGACATCGGTAGAATACATTAAGCCACTTCAAATGCATCTACGTGATCAACAACTAACTCTTTTTGACGTTGATGAGAAAGTGCCCTCTCAAATCGTATTATGAAATCCATCAACGAATTTCTCCTTGATATGTATTGCTTGAAGAAAGCATGAGAACATTCCGCTCTTTGGCTGCTTGACATTCCAGCAGCAAAAAAGTGTCGTGCGTAGGCTGGAACCCAAGATTTCCTTAAATCAAACATTGAACGTAGCCATGGATGGTCAGTCAAACCAGCCTTTGTAACCACAATATTCCACTTCGCATCAAACTCATCCTTATTGTCAGTATCCCATATGACTTTCTGAAATTCACTCCAATACTCCTTAAAAGCAAAATGTGGTAACTTAACAGAGAACTTTGATGTGATGTGCCATATGCAAAGTCGATGAAATGTAGTTGGGAAGGCTATTGAAATCGCTCTGGTCATTGCCGCATCTTGATCTGTAATGATCGTTTTAGGTTCACCACCTGGCATGGCTTTCTTAAACTCCTTAAACATCCAAATAAACGACTCAATCGTTTCCTTGCTCAAAAATGCACATGCTAAGACAATTGTCTAACCATGGTTATTAACTCCCAACATTGGTGCAAATGTCAAGTCGTATCGATTCGTGTTGAATGTGGTATCAAATACAACAACATCTCCATAAAACCCGTATGCCCGTCTAGAAGTTGCATCTGCCCAAAAACATCGACTAAACCTGTCATCGCCATCTCCCTCAGCTCAGTCACTAGTTCAATATCGTGGTTCCTTAGCTTCCCATTCACATTACATTCAAGATTGTAAATATCATTTTTGATAAAACCCATTTTATCCATTCCTCCAGATTGCACCTCGAAAATACTTACCTTCTGATGAATGAGAATATTAACCGAGCCCAACTGTTTTGTGAGTACTTTTGTAGAATTTGAAATACGACGGTGTGATCTCAATAAATGCACTCTTTCTGAGGGTGTCATCTTATGATTGTGTCCATCTACAAAAAGAGAGATGGTATACTTCTTGCTCCTATTTGTCTTCACAACCACAATCTTAGCTTTGCAATCACATCTACTTATTCCCCGCTGTCTTTTTCTCTCCCGAGTTTCATCTTTCCTGTATGCACCTTGTTTGCAACATACAAATTCTTTCCTCAGAATCTCTTTCTTATTTTTCCCCCAAAAGCTGGAATGAAGTCGAATACAAAAGCCAGCCAAGAATGCATATCTATTATAGAAATTATAAACGAGGTCAAGCAAGTCGAACTTCATCCCAACTGCTGGTGTTTCCTCATTTCTTACTTTAGGAATGTAAATCCTCCCATTATCTGTTACACAGTCATCACTTCCTGAGCCCCCAGACATTTTACCCACATATATTATTGAACTATTTCTATATTATTGCATAGCAAATATTAATTCATTAATCAATCATTACTGCATTACAACATATCAATGCATTCCACTTACACAAAACATTGCCCAAATTGACATAATACACGCATAGCCTAGCTTGTTGGATTCTGATTACACAAAACACAAGCAAAATTTAATAATAGTTATGTCATCTCTTGTGAAATAATCTGGAAAAAATAACATTAGAACCAACATGTTCAACTAAGAACTCAAATGTAATTCAAACCAGCAATTACAGAACTTCACCCAATATCCTCTCCAAATGCTTACTCCTAATGCCATTAAGCCTAAGTTTAGGATCTTTTACCTACATTTCATAATTTCTCACCCCCACCAAAAACAATCAACTAAATATATTGAATATTCATAAGACGCATTATAGATGGCAGAAATGACGCATTATTGATTCCTCTAATGACGCATTATTGATGCCACAAATGATGAATTTCCTACCCTCACGAAAAACAAACCAAACCCAATAAATCAATCCAGCAAGAGTGAACTTACCTCTCAAAGTCAATCAGGAGCTCCGAAGTCAGTTAGCTTGAGAGAATGTGGTGGACATTAGAGAAGACTTTTTGGTAGTGGAGACTCCATCTCTACCAAAATCGAGGAACAACTGCTGCTGCTGCGTCTAGCTACAGAAAGAGATATGCTACTTTGCTTTCATTTGGAATCTCGTCTGCTGAAAGAAAAAGAGAAGGGGTTTTCACTTGAGCCATAGAATCAAAACAAGGCAATAACTAGATAAGAGCCATTAATCATTATACCGAGGATACCATAGATCACAGGCCTCCAAAGGAGCTAATGACAATGGGGCGACTATCGGGTTTGGGAACTTTGAATCTTTCTAATTGTGGGTTTGCATTACATTAAAAAAAAGAGGATTGTGTTCTTCAGTTTTTCACAGAGAGGGAAAAATCTTCAACTGAAGTTGGGTTTCCAACGGGTCAGATTTCAACCCGGTTCTACATGCACCCTCTTTTAAAAACTCATCGTTTGGTTTTATCCCACGACTCTTACATACCCCTCAAAAACACCCCTTATAACTTTCCACTCACTATAGAAGCACTCTGTGCCATACGGGCAGATTAGAGCTGTTGGGCTTAAGGATGATTTTAGTCAAGTTTATGGGATTTGTCTTGGAAAATATTTGTCATGCAAAATGTAGCTAACGTCAATATCTTTTTAATGACATCTTACACGTTAAAGTTGGTGAAGAGTAAGCCCCCCAAAAGCCCAAAATCGGAATCTCTGTTATAATCCTCAAATAATTAGGAAAGCTGACTTGTACTTTCTATTTTTTATGTTTCCTATATGGTTAAAGTTTTTTTGGCCATTCTTGCCTTGCAAGTTAAGTTATTTGAGGTTTCATGACCCGCTTCATCTAGAAGAGAATACTGTGCTTGGCGCGTGCATGCGATGTTGTATTTCAAAGTTTTCTCTTTCACTCTTATGATATTATTTTCTGTGTTTTAATTATGTTCACGTATAACTAAACTTTAATCTAGGGAAATGTTAAGCTCTAGCTGTTTGGGCCAAAAATTGACACGTCCAGCCCAAGGCTCATCAGAACAAAACAAGGCTGATTTGGGCCTCACAGGCCCAACATAATAGGAAGAGGGAGTCCAGAAGAGGGAACAATCCCACGTGGCAACCTCTGGGATAAAAAGTCAGCAATGGCAGCCTCTGGGATGGAAAGTCAGCAATGGCGGAAGTCAGCAATGGCAACTGCCATAGAAGAAGTGATTGAAGGGTTCGTGACATCAAGAAGAACTGAAGATTAAATCCCCCTTATATATGTATATTCAGAGATTTTTTCTGTCTTTACAGAGAAGGTAATTCTCCCAAATAGATAAGCAAGTTACAATCTCAGAGAGGGATAAGCAGAAAAGCAGGGAGCTGTCCAGAAAAAGAATCAAACTAACCATCACGGGTAAAATATCACAAGGGGCAGCTGAAAAACAGGGAAGTGAT